TTATATGAATCAGTGAAACAATGAGAGGGAGAAAAGCAACAGCCATCTTATGCACTGATTTTGAGGACATTGCTCTCGATGGACAAAGATGCCCAAAAGTGTGGCATGCAAAAAAATAAATGGAAATGTGGCGAAATCTAAGTCAAACTCCGGCATGTTTTACCCGAAAAAACAATTACACTGGAAGTGTCACAGTACTTAGAAAACCAAACTTAATTTGACGTTAAAATGCTACAAATGTTGTAGCGAAGTGAGTTTTCGAAATACCAAAATTACTTGAACAACCGATGTGGGCATCTGGTGTTGATAGCATGGTATCAACAGACTCCCACACGCTGACAGCGGCAATGTGGGGTCTTTCGGTCTCCAGGTCCGTCTTTTGATTTCGCATTTACCACTTGTCCGACAAATATGTGCCGTCTCTTCAATGTCCAAGAGTGGCCAGTTTATTGGACCTTACTTCCCTGCATGGTCGCAGAAACAGCCCGTTCACTGCCCACCTGTCCGACAACCTGATTGCAGTGCACGGCCTCGACGAGGCTTCCCAAGAATCTTCTACTGGCCCTTCCGACACATTCAGCTTTAGTGAAGCGGGTGGGACGCAAAAAAAAGTGTTACGCCGATCAAATGACATCCGTTGCTCTAATTATAAAGTCTGTTTGCTGTTGCTTTATATAATACAATTTGATGGTCAAAAGACAAGTATGATGAAGGAAACAGCTGTCAGAAAGGCAAAAGACAAAAACATCAAACCTTATCGGCAGTGGATAAAATGTTTGAGTCAGCGAGAGCACGGATATTTCGAAAGAGCAGTTCACCCGAAAGACCTGTCGCTTTTTCCAAATAATCCATTTTAAGTGAATTTTCGTTTTCAAAACACAGAAGAATTGCAAGCTGATGCACACTCATTGTCACTTGATACGCCTTGTCCAAATAATTCAATTTCACTTCGGCTGAAAAATTTCCCGCTTCATCTTCTCAAAAAACAGTACACCGCATAAAATGTTATCTTCCTGTTTCACGCCGTGTTACTTTTAGGACTTAAACAGTATAAACACTGAAATGCCAGGGAGCGCACCGGCAGGTGGCAACACCATAGTGCTAAGTCGAAGGTCTTACTTTTTCAGTGAGACAACCAATCGATTCGTTCATTCATTCCAATGGCAAAATGATACTGGCCCTAAGCTTGTTAACAAGCAGTCCTTGGAAGACGCAGTCAGTAACAGCCTTGTCAGCGGGTGGTTGATGCTAACGCATCAAGCTACTTTCGAAAGCAATTATTAAAACTCGGCTGGGCCCGGATCGGCTCCGGATGATGTGCAAATCGCAAAAACTGCTATTCGTGATGGGAAACGTTACTCCGAGCACTGGGTA